GCACAAATTTCGATATTTTCAGAAGGTTCAGTTACGTATGAATGAGATAAAATAAGCTTCTTGTAAGAACAGTAACTAGTACATAAGATGTCGCAATGAAATGCATCGATGCTTCAATATTCGATATATCGATATTTTTTCTAAGATTGGTTCGATGTTGTTGCAATCGAATGTTAGTTTGTAGAAACATATTTCCTAATCTTCTATAAAAATTATTGCTTTGAAAAGATAACATTAATCCGATAAAACTATGAATCTAGTGAATATCGTAGAACAACTTCTTCATTTAACTAAAGCTGAATTCGGTTCCGAAGTTAAAACAACAACAACAAATGATGAAATATTTGCTTCGCAGTAGCTATTTGAAATACTCAAGGCTTTCAAACACAGCTGCTTCAATGAACTCCATACCTATGACTCTCTTGAATTTGACGATGAATACGATGATATGATGGATGAAGACAGTAGTGATGAGTCAGATGATGTTGAAGAAAATCAAGATCCAGATATTAGAAACTATTTCACTTTGGAAGAAATGAAAAGTATTGTTGAATGGGTTGATCAACATCCAAATTATACAATTGCTGGTATTTCGCATAGGTTTCGAAAAGTTAAATCTATGACTTATATCAAAAGATTCAGAGAGTATATTAGTCGAAACGGCTCAAATCTTGAAAAACTAAATAAAATCAAGGATTTCATGTTAAACGAATTTTATATTAAAAGAGCCATTGAAAAAGAAGCAGTTCATGACATTGATCTACAACTTTTTGCAATACAAAAGGCAAGAGATTTAGGTTGGGATACCTTCAAGGCAAGTGAATCATTCATCACCAGGTTCAAGAAAGAAAATCGAATTTCATCAAGAAAATACAATAGACTTATTATCCGAGAAACATCAAAAAGAAAAATTTGTACTTTAAATGGTATGCATCAACCATATTCAAATTCATTATATTTATCTAAAAATAATATATTTTAGGTGCCCGAAATTGGATTGAAAGCAAAAGATCATTAATTTCAACATTTACTCCACATGAAATTCTAAACAGTGATCATTGTTCGTTTCAACAGGAATATGTTTCACCGAGAACTCTTTCATTTACTGGTGAACGAACAACAGAAGTAGCTGTTAAAAAGAAACACAATATTACTCACTCGTATACAGTTCAACCTATTAGTTCAGCTGCCGGTCACTTGTTAAATAAATTTTTGCTAATTCTTCACGAAAAACAAAATGAATTTGATACCAGAGTGCAGAAGGATTTAATCGTGCCGCCGAACGTGGTTGTACGAGCTTCTACCTCTGGAAAAAGTAACGCTGAAAATCATCGTATTTTCTTAAAGGAAGTTCTTGCGCCTGTCGTTGCCACAAAATTCCTTCTTTTTCTTGATTGTTGGAAAACTCAAACTGGTCTAGATAAGTTTAGATCAGTATTTCCTAATCAAAAAAAGTCAGTTATTAATTTTTCCTGAAGGATCAACCGGTTATGTTCAACCACAAGACTTATCCTTATTTCGTTCGTGGAAATTCATTTATAAGAAAATTGAACATTACACTCACATCAATCGGACAGTGATCAATATGAGTGATCGTCAATATTTTATAAATATGCAATCAGTTATTCATAACCAATTATCTGCTCCATCATTTAAAAATCTAATAAAATCAGGATTTATAAATGCTGGAATAATTCACGAAACAATTAAAGAACTTGAAAAACCAAAGAATATTTGTTTCAAATTCTACGATCTCTATTGTTCAATGAATAATTGTGAAAATCGAACACTTCTGATTTGTACTTGGTGCAAGAAACATTTTTGTCATTATCATCTGATTCAAAAAATGCATATTCATTTATAGTATATCACAATAAAGTTACTTTAGACTTATTATTTTCGATTTAAATAAGAACAAATGGATTAAAAACGCTTTGCTATGATGATCAAAAGCTTCTTTTTCTCATTCATACGTAACTGAACCTTCTGAAAATATCGAAATTTGTGC